CCATCAGCGGTCACCCTGCTAATAGCATGCTTGGCAGATGTCCACTTAGCATCCATCTGTGCCATTTTAAGGGCAACAAAGTCACTACTTAATGAAGCAGCTTAATCCAATGCTGCACACTTCCAAGTAGTCCTGCTCTGATGGCTGCTCTATAAAAAGCTTAGGAACTGGACATAAGGTTCCTGAATGTTTAACCAACAAACCAAGCAGTGAAAATTAAACAGCCTCCTCGATCTGAACACTGTACTTCTATCCGACCTAAAACTGCATTTAACTTTTTAGCTGTAGTGTCTTCAGGTTAGCTCACTCTGAGGTTATGGTCAATTAACAGAGCTTTTATATTTAAATTAAGTTTATGTGTAACTATATCTTCTTTTTTTAAACTCTAAATGTCTTTAAATATATCCCTCTTAAATTTCACCTTTTTTAAAGGCCCATCGTTCCAACTTTTGTTGAGATCTCTTTGAATGCCCAGTCTATGCTAATTATTCCTTCAAGCTTTGTGGCTTAACAGATAACATGTTTATGGCTGCAGTGAATTTACAGATCATGGTAGGGCCAGGCACTGAGAACCTCGTGACTCGACATAAATTAATTGCTTGAAAAAATAAAAATAAAACAACAGGCCAGAAACCCCATGAGTGAGTAACAGAGCTGGGTCCAGCCGTCTTGACCTCTCGCCCAGCACCCCTTTCCCCGGGATCTCATGCCTAACTACCTCTGGTGCACATGCACCCACAGAGCGCAGAGGGCAGAGGCAGAGCTCTCAGCAGCCACTGGATACTGTTTTCTGTGATGTGCCCATGACCCGACCCGAAAATTACGGGCAGGATGAGAGTATAGACGGGGATCTTTGAAACTGAATGAAATATATATAACTAGCTGAATTACCTCGTGGGTGGGGGGAAATCATAGTTTTTCAGGTCTCAACTTCCTCATTGGTGAGATGAAGTCATGGGTACAAGTTGCCAAGATCCCTATCAGTGTTAAGTTCATAAGGTATTATAAGAACTTAAGTTACTGTGATCCTATGACTTTAAGGTTCCTAGTAGCTAAAGTGATCTGGAAGCAGAGAAGCCGGAGTCTTCCTACCACATGCACATATGAAGTCTGTAAACTCACTTTGAACACTTTGAGAAAATGCCTTGACCCAGGCATACATTTTAATAAATTTAATGTAGGTGAGGACTTCACTCATTTTCTGAACACGGTCATCTGTAGTAGTTACACATTTTCTCCTGAAATATGCAGTGATCCGAGACACAAACATCTGAAAGAAAAAAAGAGATGTTATTCTAAAATCAGAGCTTATCCAATTTAAGAGCTGTCTAGTCTCTCTGGGGAAGAAATCTGTTTAAGATTATTATAAATAAAATGAGGGTCATGTAGTTATACTATTTTCAATAAAAGTGGCCCGTTAAATTAGAATAAAATATTTAAGTCTTACCCCTTTGTAAGGAAGCTGAGACAAATATTTGTTCTCACAGTAATCACAGATATTGAGTGCTGCCAAACGGAAGGAGGAGGACCCTATCAGTGCCAACGTGAGACGGAGTGACTCAAACACTCTTGTGTTACCTGAGGGCAGGGTTCACCTGCTGGTTTCCTCCTTCACTCAAATTCTCTCTTTAAAATCTCATTAGGAGCCACTGCTAATGAGGCTCCTAATCAAAGTCCAGATTCTGCCCGTGTGGACCGAACAATGTCTAGCTCCTCCTAAACTTTTCCAACGTAGGAACAGCTTTGAGGAAGTTTCCAATAAGAGATGTGAAACTTCAGTGGTGCCTACTAAACATAACCCAATGGAAGTAACTTATCTAAGACGCTGCCAAAATGCAGCAAGGAGGCTTACTCACCATTGCTGGATAAAAGAGGATAAAAACAGCTGATCCCAGGAAGCCTGTTGGTCCCAGAATAATTACATTATAAATCATGCCCAATATGGCAACAATGGGTCCTCCGGCCAGCAGGCTGCCCACGGCGGCGGCCTCAAACATCCTCTGCCCGTCGTTGGAGCACAGGTTGATGAGCTAGGAGACATGGAGAGCAGTGAGTGGCCCTCTTGTCTCAGGAGGAGGTTACAGGACAAAGTGGGGACCTAAAGGGATGAAACAGCTCAAGCAGGGAGCTTTCTCTCTGCCCTGAAGCCAAGAACCCTTACTCACCTCCCCCACGGACTTCTCCTTAATGCTCTTCAACTTCAGGATCTTCTTAAACGCCATGGTGAGGATGGCCCCCCGCAAGCGGACAGCAGTTCGGTAATTCAATGCCCAAGTCATTGCAAGGGACCAGGAGCGCACGATTTCTGTCAGGAGGAGGCCCAGGACTAATAGCAAGCTGTACTGGAGGTTAGAATCTGTGCCCTGGGAGTATTCCAAGAGGTGTTTCACCATGAAGGCCTACAGGGAGAAACACACGCCACTGTCAGCACCGGCACAGCACCCACACACCACGCCGCAGCTTTATGTTAAGTTAGAAAGAGGAGGCCGCTCCACTGTTCAGTGGCCAGCGTAGAGGCAGGGACACACCTCCTCAGAGGCCCAGACATCACGGATGCCTGCCTGCAGTACTTTCCTCAGGGCGTCTTGCAGGAGGGAGTTCTAATTTGAAAAGCTCTTCCTTAAGGACAGCACCACAACTGTTACTCTTTCTAATGTAACATAAACCTGTCCATGAGCTGAAATTAATTCTAAACACACAGTCATTAAAAAGTATATATTTGACCTTATTCCAGCAGCTCCACACATTGATACATTTCTTTAAATGAAAT